TGTTAGTTGGTAACCTCCTAAATTTTGTATATTATTATTTAGAATTTAGAAAAACCGTTACAAAAAAAAGGTTATAGTGTTCTCCTAGAGCTTAGAGAAGAAGACCACTTCGGCTAGCTGTCGGGACAAAAGGTGTGGGTCATTAAATAGTTAGTAATACTGTTTATCTTAAAAGTTAAATAAATAAAACGCCAGAGTCGGTATTATGGCATTTACTATTAAAAAGAATACGGGTATTTACAAAATTTCATAGATCAAATAGATAGGTATACATTTACCTAGAGCTTTTTTATGATACAAAATGATTTAAAATGACAAGAAAAATGACTAAAGTTAAAGAGAAATTCTCTGAATTCAAAAATATTAGAGTAAAAGACACAATTAATATTACTCCGTGATCACTAAGGTTTACAATAGGTTAAGTTTAAGCACAATTAATACGATTAAAGAATTATTCTTATAAATAAAAGTTAAATGATAAATCAAAATATAAATTTATTAGATTCACTGAAGTTATTACTTATTAGACTGAAGGTCTTTCATACCTTGGTTTACAGACTTTCAGATACCTGATTTCTGGTAGAAACCCATTAAGCGATGGAACTCTCCACCACTGGTGTTGGTTACGATTACCCCGGACAGGAAACTGGCTTAGAACTTGTAGGACTGCAGGACATCAAATGATTAAAAACTGGATTACGTAAAAATCACAGCGCATCACCCTGATGCGTCTGGAATTTTCCGGAACACTGGTACAGCACAGCGACTGCGGACGAAATCAAACGAGGTCGTTGACAACAACCCTCTGGAGATCTGATGTAGGAAGTCGGTAGTGCGGGCCGTTAGCAGACTTCGTTCACCGCGGTCGTAAGATTCCCAAAAATGGTTTAGGGTACCTACCCTTGTGCGATTATGCCACGTGATTTGTAATCCGATCACTATCGGCGACGAACGTTTCGGTAATATGCACGGGCTTCGCGACGACTCAGGCGAACAGTCAAACTCAAACACGTACCCCCGGTACCTTACCCAGCAAGCAGACGAAAAATAATGCCACACGAACCTCATGGCTACGGCGTATTTAACCCCTTTTTCAGAAGTCAAGATGGCTTCAACAAGTAGGATATGACAATGCATATTTTGGAAATCACACTTCCGGTGATCGCCACAAGTTACCAGAAAATTTATCTAAAGTAATCTAATTCGACCCCAAATGTATTTATGTGTGTATTTAACGTCCTAATAAAATATTATTCCTAACTATAGTTAAGTATTAAACCCAATTTTCCTAGAAAAGTACCCTAATATAATATGCCGTCATGGACAATCAATGGAACTGATTTCAAATAGCACAACACCAAATATCCCATTAAGGTTATCTGTCAAATTCGTACCACGGAACAAGAATTGGCTATCGGACCGTACAAACTAGACGACAGGTATTTCCTAGAAAGAAGAAGATAACCCGAATTTCGGATATAATAATTAATGTCAAAACATTATTGAAATAAAATGTAAGCAAACGTAAAATACAACTAAATAGTGATTTAAAAGGGGTGAAAACTAAGTGAAATAACTACCACATACTAGCAGTATACTCGCAGGTCATTATGCTACACGTTTTCTGCTCATAAAACCATCAGGATCTTAAAAGCAAAAGGTAAGACAACAAGTTCAATGAATTGAATCATATTAAAAGTTTTATTCAAAAACAAAGCAATGCCTTTTTAAAAATGATGTGGATTAAGGATATATTTTAAAAACCTGTATCCTTTAAATTACCAAAGGTTCTTATTCAAGACAAATCAATATTTTATTAAAAGTTAGTATTCTTTATACTAAGAATGTGTTTTAAATGCCATACCTATTTAATTATTCTAAAACTAAAATCAACATGTAACACATTTACTATAACGAAGTTATTAGATAGAAATAAAGTAGAAATTGGAAATAGTAAAAATAAAAAATATATTATTCATATAAAGGAGCTTAATAAACCGTTTTCTTCTATAGAGAGGCAAAATGACGTCAAAACTCTTGACAATGACCCTATTAATACTGTTGAAACTGGTGACGAATACTAACGTCAATGACTAAAAGTCGAAAGATAACAGTTACAGGTATCAGTATTCTTCCTTGTAAACTTGGTTTCACACATATTATTAATAAAAAACACATCTTTTTATATGACATAGACATACAAACTCTTACTTCTCAAATTACCGAGACAATAGACTCTCACGAATCTCAAAAATCTATTTACTCATTATTTCTGAGAAATAAGTATGATTATTTATGACTATTATTATTAAATTACCTAATAAGTTAGAAAATATAAATTTATATAAAAATTCTAGATATTGACTATTCAAAAATTTTAAATTTAATGAACAATTATCAAAGGAACATTTCATAATACATTGGAAATTATAAATCCTATATTGGAGGCTTGGCAGACGAATTTTACAAATTCTCTACATATTCTAATATTATTGATCAAATGTTTATAATAATTATTAGAAATATGAATTTCCTAGAAAATATAGAAAATAAGTAAATTAAAAAAAATATACAAAACTAACGAAATTTAAATATAGATTAAAAATCTTGGTATTCCATAATGGTTACTAATTGTTATTTCACAAGTGATAACAGTATATTAAAGTATAAGTGGATATAACGGTTTTTAAAACACGCGCGAAATAATGCAAGTATTTTAAAGACCAGTTATCCACGAATACTTTACGCTATTTTTTTTTATTGGTTTACTTTGAAATCCTAAGTATTATTTCTACAAAAAAAATGGAAATAAGAACTAATAACTGAAAATGGTTGAATTTGTGATGTAACATCAGTATACCTCGTTGTCATGAAAATGAGACAAACAAAAATTTATTTTCAATTTGTCACGTAAGATTAATTGTGGCAACAGTTGTTATTGTTTAAAATGAGTTCAAATATTGAGTATTTAAATAATAAAGCAGAATCGCGCTTAATACCACAAAAATCCAAATCGGTTTATAAAAAAGATTACGATAAATTCAATACGTGGATCGAAGAGCAAATGGTTACACATATAGATGAACGAGTTGTTCTCGCTTATCTCCAGAAAATGTCGGAACAGTATAGACTATGTGGACTATCCATTCAAAATTACAAAGTATGTTGAGGATAAACAAAGGAGTCGATTTAAAATCGTTCGTCAAAGTGCATGCATTCATGAAGGCAATTAGCAAAAATGAGGTAGTGAAGGCATATGTATTCGAGGAAGACGATTTGCGGAAGTTTTTTACAGATGCCCGGACATTAGGTATTTATTTTTGAAGGTGTTGAATAAATTTTTTGAAAAATTTCTCAGAAATATTTTATTTGACATTACAAGGCACTCCTGTCATATCAATATTTAAAAAATTAGCATTTAGACATCACGTTTCTCGGATTGTTGATGTTGCCATCGTAACTTTAAAACACGCGCGTTTTTAAAATTCGTTTTAAACACGCTGAGGCGTACTTTAAATAAGTAAAATAGGGTACCAAAAAAAAAATAATTTTTGCCATAAAAATCCCTATGATTTATCCAAAATATACCAATATTTTCCCCACAACCCAATTCCTACCAAAAACGATTCCACTATCATACCTGAAAAACTTTATTTGATTCTGACTGACAAAACACACTACTATATGGAAAATATCTACACCCTTTTTGAGAAAAACTACATTTGGCAATAAGAAAAGTTGTAAATGAAAACCGATGTTTGCATCACCGTCCTCATCAAAGATAAAAAAGGTATCAATACTACTATTCAACTTCGTTCCAAATATTTATTAAAGTCAATAATAAATAATCAATCAATTATCCATAGATGAAATCGATAAACCAAAATCAGAAACTTGGCTCCAATGGTATTTTATCAGCACCCTGTATTTTTTGTGGAAAAACAAACATATGAAGAAATTATTCAAAAAAGAAACGGAACCCAAAATTATTCAGCCTTCGACTTCTAAAGAACCCGAAGCCTTCATCTAACAGGAGAGGAGTTATATTTATGAACTCTGTATGCAAGCTTGCAAGTCGGTGTTCGACCTGCTGCGTCAGCATAAGCTAACTTATAAATATATGTAGAATTGTGAAATTGTTGTTCCTTATTTTTTATCAAAGTAGATTAGTTGTTAATTAAAACAAAATTTTTTAAAAAGTTATTTTTTCCTACATTAAACTTATCTCGCGACGCGGGTTGAATCACCGATGGGGCAATCTTTTTTTATTTGGAAAAATATGAAAATTGAAAAATACGACTATTGCTGTTAATTTATTTTAAATACATTTTATTTATCATAATATAATACCCTATAGTTAATTTGTTTGCTAATTATTTTATATTATTTTATATACTGTTTAGAAAAAATTGTAAGTTCATCTTAGTTGTTGTATTTAAAAAAAAAAAAAATAAATTAAATAAAAAACATTATTTTATTCTAATATTTTTTATACCTAATGTTATCATGCTATGAAAATGTTTGTAAATGAAATCGCAATGTTTTTAATTTTGACAATACGTTATCCCTAAAACAATTTGAAAATGACTCAGAAGGGCATATAAAAAGCAAATCTAATAAGTGTCACATCTTGATTGAACCTTTATAGCCAGATTTCCTAGTTTTAAATTTTTTGATAAAACGATTTTTTGGCCGTAGGAAAAATATTGTATTGAAGTGATTTTTCAGAATCTTGTGATCGTCGTACTCGGCCTATTTGTTACTCGTGTGAAAAATGTCACTTTCCACACTCGTAGTGTAATATATAGATCGATGGAGGGCCCCAGAAAATATCTCATATAAATTTTCACTCGAATATATCTATTCGTTTATGAGATGTAGCCTGGATTAGTTAGTCTGGGACACCCTGTATAATATATTTCTACTTAGTTAGGTCGACGATAATGAGGCAAAAAATTGCATTAAAAAATAATAATGCGTATATCTTCAATAACATGAAACAACTTGAGAGAGAAAATAGTAGTTATATAAAAAGCAAACCAATGAATTGTTATTGTGGACCAATGTGCATATTTATTATAGTAATTTTGATATTTCCACTATGTCTTAGGTTGTATAGAAAGTTATTTTTAGTGAAGTTTGCTGTTAAAAATAAAGTGTCTCTTGTCGGAAAAACAGTTATAGTTACAGGCGCAAATACAGGTAAGTTTTTGTCTGAATTGAAATTATTTGTTGTAATAAATACGTACTGTGCTTTCTGTTCCTTGTTTAAATTTACTAAAAAATCCTCCCTTACTCTACTGATATTCAATTCATATAGTAGTTACAGTCTAGTTAACAAGTGCTTTTTGGGTCAAACTTTTTTCCCCACCTCCGAAAAATATGAAAGAGGTGTCACTCGATTTGAAATAGCGTGTAGATAATGTTTGAAAAAATTCAAGAGCCGTTTGCAAAAATTGCAAAAGTTATAAACAACTGAAAAACATAGGCTTTGAAAAACTATTTAACATTTTCCAAATTTAAGAAAAGATTCAAAAAGAGGGGGAAATATCCCACCTACCTCCCGGACCAATATTTATAATTCTTTTAGAGGGTTGAAAATACAGCCAAAAACGGAGACTCTGGCTTGCGTAAGCTCCGCCCACTGTGTACCTTAATTGATTAAATATTATTTAAACTTATTAAATATAATATCATGAATTGAAAACATTCAGGTGTCTATTGAATAGATGAATGAACAATAACCGCGGTCAAACAATTTTTGTAGCAATTTTAATTATGCATTTTTTCCTACTTGAACATGAACATTGCAAGTGCGACAATTGTTAAATAACAAATCTGAGATTTTTCCTCTTTTTGGAGCAATTTCTGAACCATGTCAAAATAGATTCCCGTTGGAAAAATTAAAAAAAATGTAATTTTTCACTTTGTTATTAACAACTTACTTACGTTAAAAATTAAAAAGTTTGATTAATCATTGAAAAAAAAATTTTTTATTTATATTACTATTGATCCGTTTTTTTATCATCAGAAGCCACATGAAAATTATTTTTAAAAATTTTTGTTTCCTATTGTTTAAAAAATTATTATAAACAAATGCGTTGTTTATAAGATAATTTAAATTTTTTCTTTGGCATAGTAAGAGATAACCTCATAGGACCTTTTGAACTTCCAGTAAAAATGACTGGAAATGATTACTTACATTTTTTGAGTACAATTTATTTGATCTGCTAAATGATGTTCCTTTAAATATTAGAGTTGGTATGTGCTATTTAAAAGATGGCGTCCCTGTCCATTATTCCATAGCAGTACGAATTTTTAAATAACGCATTTCCCCATCGTCGTCCAGATTTAAACCCTCTGGATTTTTATTTCTGGGGTTATATTAAGATTCTAGTTTATTCTGCTTTTACTATTAATACCAAAAATAGTAATAGCGGCTAATGTTATTCGACAAGACCGTTCATTCTTCGCAATTAGAAGAAATTTCTTAGAAAATGCATTATTAAAATTCGAACATTTTAAACAAATAATTTGAAATGAATTTTTCGCTTTTGTAATTGTTCTTCGTTTGAAATTGTTAAGTTTTTCAATTTGTTATTTTAAAAAAATTCATTTTATGTTAACATATTTTTGCGTTGTTTCAGTATCTACTAAATGTTTAATAAAGATCTGAATTAATTTGTTATAATTTATGTATTATCTTTGGATTTAACATTATCAAATTGATATATTTTGGAGTAATCCATACATTTGCAGTACTAACTTTAAATTAAGTTTCCCTTCAAATGATGCAACAAGTACACCTTTCTTAAAGCAAATTGAACGCTATTTCAAAATAATTAATTATTTTTCAGAAATGTCCTTTCTTAAAAAAAATCTGAAGTAAATACTAGATTAGCACGCCAATTTAGAATGACCTGTACAGGTAATGCAACAAAAAAGCTGGTATTCGTTTGTATCACCCAAAAAAAACTTTTACAAAATTTGAATTATCGTAAAATATTGAAAAAAAAAATATATTCTCCACCCTGTATCTTCTTAGGCAAGCAAAATTCTACTTAGGTAAATTGGCATAAATAAACTTATTTTTTTCCAAACTAACCACACGCCCTTGGGTAAAAACCTAAAAAAAAACGATGACACAGCTAATATGTGAGTCTGCTCACATATAAAAATAAAATACCCAAGTTAATAGACTTTTTTGTAGCAGTTAAAAAGAGAGAGATATAACTAATTAAAAACGAATCTATTAGTGAATTCCTAAATCAGTTGACAAACGATACATTCACTGATTTTAATATGGAGAGCCATAAAACGATTGAAAAGGCTCATTGTACAGAATGCTCCAATCATCGAAGATAGTAGAACGGCTAATGAAAAACCGTCTTTTGCCCTTTCTTTTCAAGCATAACATCCTCACAGCTCATCAGTATGGCTTTCTACCTAAAAAATGCACTAGCGACGCAATGTTTTCCGTTCTTAATGAAATATACACATCACTTAATGATAAACTTTTCACCGCTTCAGTATTTTGTGACTTCGCAAAGGCCTTCGATTGTGTAAATCATGATATTTTAATTAATAAGTTACAAATTTATGGCATACGGGGTTCTCCTTTACAATGGTTTAAAACTTACCTAGAAAATAGAAATCAACAGGTGCGGGCGAATGGTGAGGATTCTACAAATCTAGCAATAAGCAGTGGAGTACCTCAAGGATCAGTATTAGGTCCATTTTTGTTTTTATTATTCATCAACGACATCACAGACTTAAGAATAAGTGGTAGAATTACTTTATTTGCTGATGACACCAGTGTAACCTGGAATAATTCTAACATGCAGACATTACAATCTATCATAAGTGAAGATCTAGTGACTATTAAGTCCTGGTCTGATTCGAATGGACTTTGTTTCAACACCAGTAAAACTGTAGCATTGTCTTACAGAGGTACTTTACAACCTATAACTTTAAACAATAATCTGATCCAAACGGTGACTTCAATCAAGTTTTTAGGTATTTATATAGACGATTCTCTAAAATGGTCTGCTCATATAGATACCTTAGCAAAAAAATTATCTGGTTAATCATTTTGTAAGAACCGCAAGTAATTTGCACCATTTAAATTATTCGGAAAAAATACTGGTCCTATTAAATTATTATTCACAATGCCTGCCCAATCATTGACTTTAAAAGTCATTTGGTGATAAGTCAATTTTTTGCGTGAGGGTTTTCTTAGGCCCATTTGTTTTCGATATGGTAATTGATGCCATTTCTACTAAAGGTTGCTTCATCGGTAAACAAAATGTTATTAATGAAATTGATATTTCGATTGTTTTCCGTTAGGAACCAGTCGCAAAATCCCATTCTTTTAGGATAATCTTCATCTAGTAATTCTTGAACGATTTGTTACGGGTCAGAAATTTATCGTACTCAAATAATTAGTTATTATTATTAGTTAATAATTAGGGTTAATTAACATTAAATAAATAAAAAAATAACTCACCTTAATTTGTAAATAGTATTCAACAAGATTAATAGACTTTTCTACTTTTATCCATTTATTAAAATCTAACCTATACATATGGAGATTGTTTATTTACATGCTAATGTCAATTCTTGACCATGATCTTGTTATAATTTTTCTCTTCTTCATTCTAGTGTAATTTAATTAATTAGGTCAATAATTAAGATGTTTATTGGCAGTTCAGCTTTACGAGTATTATTCAGGTACATTTTTCTTCTTGGTGTCAGAGGTTTTATCTCTCTCTCTCTCTCTCTCTCTCTCTCTCTGGGTTCTCTGTCATTTTCTTTTTGGTTGGTTTTTGGGCCATGTAGTCTGTGTTATATTGAACAAATATTTTCGGATTTTTTACCACCCCTAAAAGGGGGTTCCATCAAAATTACTTATAAGTATCGCTTTTAAAATCAAGATTTGGATTTAACGCATTGTGGATTTGCAATACTTAAAAAGAAAAGGCCCTAACTTACTTAGCCTATTAGTTATAGTTACGATACTATTCTTCATTAGCATTACCATCATCTTCGACTGCTTTTATCAGCTAGAAAAGGCCTATTAGTTATAGTTACAATACTATTCTGCATTACCATCATCATACTATCACCTTCGACTGCTTTTGTCTGCTAGACAGGGTACTCCTGAGCTTATTACTTCCGCTTATTGGCTGCTCTTGGGATTGCGAATGTTACAGTGCTGTCTGTTGCCTTCATCGATACATCTAGGAGACTTCGAGAACACAAGTAAGATCTCTCCATTTTTCTACCTACATGTAACTAACCTGCTATCTTTGGAAGACCACACTCACCCTAAAACAAAAACGATTTAAGGGTTAATTATTAAATCATACATATATAGAAGTTTTATTAGTACGTACAAAGATATCTTTTAAAAAGAACTGCATAATAATTTCATAGAATTAAAATAAAAGAATACTTACTCATCTACTCGTTGTAAACAAGTAGTACTACTTGGGCCTGAAGGGTAAGAATCTTGTAAATAGGGACCCTTGCATGTAGATAAATTGTACATATAGTGTTAATTTCTTGTCTTTATAAACTGCCAGATAGTCAGCAATTTTTCGAACACTTTGTATATAGACACACTCTACTTCTGTAACATAAAACAACCATTATTTGAGCAATTGAGTAAAAACATCAGTAAATAGAGTTTACCTGATTTATTTTCCACGTCTCAACTCTCCAGATGAAATTTATAAATTTGAGCTAGCTATTATATAATTTCACCCCTTATCAATCGAGGGAGCAATGTAATAGATTATTAAGTGATAGGGATAAAGCTGTTGTTCCTTAAATCTTCTCCAAATTATCATTTGACCAACGTCTAATTGAGCAGCTATTCTCCATGAACTGCTTCCAGGGTTTTCTTCAACTAATTCTAAAATTACCTTATCGTTTGTATCCATTTTTGTACGATTACTATTACCAGAAAATTGCGGTTGCAAAGTACCCGCCTTCCGTAAATGACGATCAATAAAAAGATATAATCGTCTGTCTGGTGTATTCCGATTGGGATATTTTTCCGCATATCGCCTTGCAGCTGCTGCACTATTCCCTTGGAATTCATCTGTGATTACCAGAAATACGGATAATTATCTGAAACCTTGTTTTAGCCTGACAAAACTTACCCAGAATTAAATGCATATCTGCCATTTCTGCCATTTCCAAAACACTCTTAAAATGCACAATAATCGACAGCTTTAATTGACAGCATGTAATTGTTTGTTGTTTATCCATAGAAACTACAAGTGATGAACAGCCAACTTTAAAATTTTTAAAGGATAATGAAAAAGAGGCCGCATTTTGATAAAAACTGGCTGTTCGAAAAAGTGCTGAGAGGCAAAAAAATAAAAAAAAAAATATGTATTGAAACAATGGTGTACAATAAATACTAATTAACTGGTAACGCATAGAAAAGTTTAGGGGGTTTTAGGGATTCAAAACACCCCTAAAATTTTCATTGGCTGTACAGATTAGTGGTTGTATGTGAAGAAGATGTTCTTATGATAAGAAAGCCTTGTGTTCATTTTCATTACAAAATGTTAAACAGAACATGAAATATTGGAAAAAATCGATTTTCATTTTGTTCTTTCCAAGGGCTGTATCTTTTTTGGGTACACATTAGAATTAAGTTATGTTCAATCAAGGTATTTTTGAGCCCAAAACATGTGGTTCCATTTATGATCTACCTTTTTGTTACACCCTGTAGGTTTTGGCATATTAATATTGGCGTACAGAGTCGGTTTCAACAATCAATTCCAACACAACTTAGAAAAATGTCAGTTATGCTGCTATTGGATTCTACTAAACTTCTTTTATAATTATTTAGCCATATCAATTTAATTATTTCCATTTGTTATAGACCCTTATTTTGTAGATTGTCTTATTTTTTTGTTGGTTTCTGTGTCTCATCAACTTTTCCTCGTCTTTATACTTAGAAATGGCATATCTGCCGCATTTACCTAATTCTATTTATTTTTGTTCCAATTAATAATACGAAATATTTGTATTTCAGGAATTGGTTACCAAACAGCATTAGAGTGCGCAAAGAGAGGAGCAAGGTTAATCATAGCATGTGAAAATAAACCTCTTGGTACCAAAGCTTTAGAAACAATAATAAAAACGACAGGAAATAAAAATGTGATTTTTAAGTTATTGGATCTTGCTTCATTGAAATCCGTGCGATCATTTGCTGATGATGTTTTAAAAAACGAGGAACGTTTGGATATTTTAATAAATAATGCGGCAGTCTTAATGCGTGGAAATGAAATGACTTCAGATGGATTTCAGTTAGAAATGCAAATTAATTACATTAGTCCAGTATTACTTACCTTACTGTTAATTGGTAAGTACATTAAGCGCCACACATAACTCTTAAAATTGTTAAATTATTAGTCTTTAAGGAAAAGAAATAATTGAGGATATAAGTGAAAGGCATACAACAGGGTTAACTTTTTTTTTAATTGGGCTAAACAAAACTATCATCAGGGCCATCCTGAAAAGTATTGAACAATTAAAATCAAAAGGTAAAGAATAAATGACAAACTGACGTCTATCAGATTCCACCACAAGATCTCTTAGATAAAATCAACATTTGAACCCGATGTGCGTTACGAAAACATTTCAAAATAATTGAAGTGGGTTTACAGTAAAATAGTTAAATCTGTAATATGGTAGTAGCTAAATGATCTTGATTGATATTATTAAAGAAGATGGCCATCAAGTATCAAGGAATCCGGATAAAGACACTTATTTTTGACAAAGGCTATCATATTTTTTTCTAATTACATAAAATAAAATTTTTCAGATTTTCCAAGTTATCTATTCGAGTAAAATACATATAGGAGAGTCAAAAAAAAAGTTAGATAGACATCACCATATTCTGGATCGGGTGTTTTAGAGGTCATTTTTCAAAATGGCCAACACCAATTTTATTTTGTATATAAATTTCTACTCATGTGACAGTCATATTTATCATTTAGGTGTCTAAATATAGGAGAAGGAATCGAATAAGATGGTTTTTAAAGTTTTCTAACTACTATATATTAAAGAAAATTAGTATTTATGAATGTAAAATGAAAATATGAACAAAAGTGAATACAATAATTTAAAACGGAGTACTAACAACCGAGTTTGATAGTATATAAATTCATTTTACCATTTTTAGCCACTTATCGGGTTCGAACCAACAATAATGTCAATTATCAAAAAGTTAAATCGAATTCGGGTAATACTTCACATAAATTCCATTTAGTCAACGTCAATTTTTATTATCCCGAAAGAAAAGTGACTTTTGGTCTCTATTTTGCCCCAATGAAAATATTACTCACTTTTATAGTAGGAAAGCATATTTCATTTAGAAATAAATTATTTTATTTTGTAGACATGCTGAAGAAATCATCGCCAAGCAGGATAATAAACGTTGCATCCATAGCAGCAAAATATGCGAAAAACTTTACCCCAGAGACCATAAATTCATACACGGATCATATAAGTTCGTATGCCAATTCTAAATTAGGAAACATATTGTTTACGCAAGAACTAGGAAAAAAATTAAAAGATTCTAATATTAGTGTTTTTTCTTTGCACCCAGGAATAACTAATACTGGTATAGCAATTAAAAATTTCAATCCAATTTTTAGAGTCTGTGCAGCAATTTTTTCACGAGTTTTCTTTATGGCAAGTATAAATTAAGCTATTTTTTGTAATACATTTAAAGCATCATATTCATCTTGCATCAATCAAGAAAAAGAAGAAGCAGCAAAACAAACAGAAATATAAGTGTTGGTTTCATAGCCAAATTATCTTTTTATATCTGATTGATAAAAAATCAATGTTACGTTTTTTAAATCTTTTTCCGATTTGCTAGGATCGGTTTGGCTTCTTTTTGAATAACATTATCACTTAGAGTAAGGATTACTGCAGAATGGTCTGAATCCAAGATTGGTATGTACAACCAAGTTCTGATGCAGCTCGGTGCAATGTTTTTCCTTTGACTGTGGTTAATCTTGATTCCCAGTTGGTGTTTTTGTAGTTGTAATCTCCACCGATTATAAATTTGTTACCAAGTTTTTTGAGTACATTGAGATAATTTTCTTTGTACTGGTTGTATCTTGGTGGGCAATACATTGCAGCTATTGTAAGTTTGCCTCCCTTAATGTAAATGGTAATAATTGTTAACTGATTTTCTGGTTCATGGATGCCTGGTTCCTTATAGTGGGAAATGTTATTTTTAATAATTAACACTTTCTCCTCTTGCTGCATTGGATGGATGGATAGTGTGATAAAAGTTGTATCCTTTGAATTTAATGTATGACTTCGTTGTAAAATGGGTCTCCGAAATTAGACATATATCTATGTCCAAAAAAACTTGGATAACAGTTTGTTTTTGGAGAATACCATTGGCATTCCAAGTGGCTATTCTATTATTTCTTTTGTTCATTGGTGGTTTTGTTACATGTATATTTGAGGTTTATTCAATTCTTCTAGCTTCTGGAGCCTGTCAGAGAGTCAATCTATTCTGGTTATTAAGGATCATAATAATAAGTCATGAGTGGTACTTTCTGCTAGGCTGGCTGACTGTGCAGCATGCTGTGCAATTTGTGGCGTGGGATTCATGGCTGGTTGTGACCATTGATGAAGAGTAGTTCTAATAATATTTTTGAATATGGTCTTTCTATAAAGGTCTTCCCATGTGCTTGTTTTGGGACATTATCCCAATAGTGATTTTGTTTTTCACGAAACCAGGAACTACACTTTTTGATACTTTAGCCTAAAATACTGAAGCGTATCTTCCTATTGCATAGATTAGATTAGATTAGATTAGATTAGATTAGATTAGGAGTTGGACGTTATTTGTCCTTGTCCACCGCGACCTTTTCAGATCTATTGTGGGACTCCGTTTGTTTTAGAGTATGTCGTCTAGCCTGGTCTTTTTTATTAGACTTAGTAGCTTTGACAGTGGCTCCCGCATGTAGTTGCATGCAATTGGCTTTTCTTCGCCCAATGTTAGAAACCTCATTCCAGCCAAGCCTTCACATTGGCACAGGACGTGGAATGATGTTTCCTCTTCTTCTTCACAGAACCTGCACAAAGTTGCTTCTTCTGCTGGATTTATGACACTCATGTGCCTTTTGAGGCGACAGTGTCCAGTAAGAAGGCCTACTGTTATCCTTTCCTATTGCATAACTAAGGTTAGTGTTGGTTGTTTTTAGAATAATCCAACTCCAGTGCCTTCTGCAGTCTTTGAACCGTCGGTGTACCAGATATGTCATTGGGCACTAAATTCCCTTACATCTATTTTTATTGATTAATAATAAAACCTCGATTGGAGTATTAAAGGAGTAAAGTTTGGTAATGTGATCCGTTTTCATATCTAGCACGTTCCCTAGCACTAATCTAGTTATTCTTATATGACCTGGTCTAACTTTAAGATTTCCCAAGGTGTTCTTTAATCTGTAAGCACCTCTTGTCTCCTTTTGTATCACAAACCTATTAGTGCTTTCATTGCTGCTGTGGAGGTTGTTCTAATTTCTCCCGTTATTTCAAGACCAGTGAGTTTCATTATTGCCGCTCTTTGTTGTGTCTTTGACCATTATATCAAAGCTGCTTATGTTTTTTTTTTTTTAAATATAGAGTCCAGGTAAGTTTCGACTCATTTGTAACTTTTGATCAGATTGTAATATTAATGACCGCTTCTTAAGATGTGTATTTAAAAAAAAGTAATTCAGCAAAAATTTAACAAGATTAATATAACAAACGAAGATTCTTAAACAGTAGAACGTTAGCAAAATCAAAAGCGAAGAAATAAATCTTATGACGCCAAGGTAGAACAATTTGTATAAAAACTCTATATTTGTTTTTTATTTAAATTATTGAGTTTTAAAAGGATATGAGGATCTGTTATACCAGTATATCCCACATATGCCAAATATACATTACGTTAGCCGACGATCCATGCAAATAAAGATAAGATTCTTAATTATATTTAGACGTAAGATTCATAATGAGGAGCAAACACTAACCTAATTTTTGTACACCTACAATTTAGGATGAGCTAAAAAAATAAGTGTTAAAATTTTAATTTGCTTTTCTACACAATAATGGATTTGACAATGTTGAACAAAAATCTCGAATAATTTTCTGATTGGTGCAAGTTTATCCATGGTTTTCCTTTTATTTCTGGTTTTCTTATCATCAGATAATATAGTGTGCAGTAGAAAATAAAATCTCTTTCGTGACATGTTCATCCAAAACATTTTGACCCTGACCCATGAGTAGCCCATAAGTCTTCTGTATTTATTTTACTATTTCTGTGATATCCGACCATATATAAAAGACCAATGCAAGCCTTCATTTCTACTAAATCTGTGGTCTTACATTCTCTCTTTCTCTCTCTGGTGTATGCTTCTTTTTAATTTTTTATAAATTTATTAGTATTCTCAATAATAAGGGCATGCGTAGCTTCATCAAAAAATGCATTCCAGCACTCTAAAGCATATTTTGCATTTTTTGCCATCCCCTTTACGCCTTAGAATATTTTGGGTACGTGTTTTAACATTGGAAGCAGGCAAAGTCAATCGCCATTTTGTCTTCTTGTTGTTTCCATTTACCTTATTCTCCTAACCTAGTTCATTGTCAACATTATCTGGTTTTTCAACTTCCAACTATTCTTCATTATCTTAATTTCCTGCTTTCAACTATTCCTGTAAGTAGTCTGATTCACCTTCATAATTGTCATTGGCTTTAGAAAGTTTGTCATCGGACTCCAAAGCCAGCTGCTGTAAATAGGCTCCATCTTCTTCTTTAGAAAGATCGAATTTTCTTTTTCTCTCCGTCTAGCAAATATAAATACATTAAGTACGCTATACACTTCATTTTTATCGCTAAAACATACCTTTTAGTATGATAAAATTGTTATTTCTAAACTGTTACAACATTAATCGCGCGGCGTCTGAGAGACTCAGTGACAAAACTTTCGTGACTAATAAATATATAGCTCTCTTAAGCTAGCAGGACCAACTGGGCAGAATCGATTAGAATCTATTACATTATTTAGTACCTATTTTGTACGAATTTGTACCACCAATAAAAATTTTGTACCATGTGCCGTTTTCAAAAAAAACGTGGCGCTGCTGAGTTAATATTAAGCTAGCAGGACCACATTAAAAAAATAAAATAAAACAAAGGTAGAATTAAAACGAACTGAATTTGTACCAATTTGTACCACCAATCAATTTTTTGTACTATGTACGGTTTATAAAAAAACACATGTGCTTCTAGTTTAATATTAAGCTAGCAGGACCACATTAAAAAAATAAAATAAAAAATGAAACAAAAGTAGAATTAAAAAGAACTAAATTTGTACCAATTTGTACCACCAATCAATTTTTCGTACTATGTACCGTTTAAAAAAACGCACGGTGCTTCTAGTTCAATATTAGGCTAGCAGGACCACATTGAAAAATACAATAAAAAAGGACTGATTTTGTAACAATATGTACCATTAAAAAAACCTAATTTATTTAATCAAACTACCTGAAACAACTTTCAAATTAATCCAAATCTGTTATAATTAAAAATAAAGAGACTTTTTGCAGACTAAACAAATATGAATCAGAATCTTGCAATTTATTAAGATCCAGCTGTTCCTCTCAAACTACAACATTATTGTCAGGGTCAGAATTTAACCCCTCAATAGTCTTCAGATGACGATCTTATTAATCCAAACTTACCCTCTACTTAAAAATCACTCAAAAGAGAACAAAATTACCTACGTTAGGTCTTGTATGCGATAAATATGGTATAGGGACCGTGCGTCAAGACAAGGCATTTATTGTTTAATAATTATTAATTAAATAAAGTCGAATTATTTTCGTAATATCATTATCGAAAAAACTTGTTGCATCCGTGGATGTACGAACACATTACTTTGGAAACCTGGATTTCATTCAATAGTAAAGAAATTTTATAAATTTTCACAGAGCAGAATTAAGTGTCTCACGCCCAATGATATACATAATTACATTACATAGATTGCTTATCCATATGTAAATCAGATGACGAAAAGCGTATTTCACTGGGCAAAGTTTTTTTTTATATCTAGCTTTGTATCAATTTTGAGCATTTGAGCATTTACAGAACCGGTTTAGAAATTAGAGTCTTAAGTGTTTTATTGTCATTAAGATTTTTACATATTTAAATGAACATTTTATATAAATATAATTTTATTCTGTTGATTAAAACTAATGTAGAATGTTACTATGAAATAAGTATGTCCAATTTGACAAAAATATCATAGCCCTCTTTACAATTTATTAACTATTTCTCATTTATTATTAAAATAAACAAATCATAAATAATACGTACATTACAAGTACTATCAAAAGAGACTGCAACAAACTTTAAAATATTAAAAATACAGTGATTTTTGTAAAATTTTTTAGTGACATTACCATTAAACTCAGAATAATAGATGTGTCCAATTACAACTCTTACCAAAGTTGTTTATATCTCATATCAAAGTTGTTTACATTTCCTTTTCAAAATTGTATTAGAACAGAAGTAAAAGTTGGAAATGCTTTTGCCAGTTCTCCCACTTTATACACATAAATTGACAGGTTGTCAGCGGATCTCACCGAAGTGGACACGATACATTGGCGTACAAAATTATTTTATAGATGTTAATAACAATTTCGAGTAAATAGTTTAATAAATTGTGAATAGCTGTTGAAATTTTGTAAAATTATAATTTGAATATTATAATACATGTTTAATAATTATTTATAATCCATAAATACATGCTATTGTCCGGTTCCGCCGATAAAAATTTAAAATTACTTATTCTATGAAACGACACTGGCAGGTAAACATTACTGTGAAATTCTCGGAGCCGCCCGACGTGGTTTGACGTTTACCCCCTCTCTACCTACCAAAAGACTTTTCAACTTTTACTTTCTCTATACATATTGCAATTATGTATTTTATGTAGTGTAATTTCTGAAATGAGAGTAGTCTAATATTATTTATATCCATCTGTTTTAAAAATTGTTTAGATCTCTTAATATTATTTAACAACATGGAAACAACTTTCCAAATACATAATAACGTGTCTTGAAGTAAAACTTTAATTATTTTCTTTTTCTAAAGATTAAAATACTGAAATTTTATATTAAAACACATTTGGGCTAGAACGGCTCTATTTTAGTGAGCACTAGGAAAGTCACATTGCAACCCGCTTTTCGTAATTTTTTTATAGATGGGTGAGTAATCTATAATATGTATATCATTGGGCGTCTCATAAACGTCAGTGGATGAATGACATTTCGACTAACATAAATTTTTCCCAATCTTTTTTATTAATTTACATTTTTTAAATGTTATTGTAATACTTTTAAATTCAGTGTTACTAAATACCGATATTTTGACATTGGATACACTTGTTTAAGGTACAACTTTACAATTTATTGTCAATTAGCCATATAAATCTTTTTGCTTAAAATGTATATACATGTCCAGATTTTAATAATGTTTTACATTTTATATCATTTTGACCATGTACCCGATTGTTTGGTACGGGCCGGTATCTATATTTAACTATATTTAATATTTTAAAAAATATTCTTTATTATTTACTTGCAATGTTTACCCCATTTAATTCTAAAATTAAACACTAGAGAGGGCTAACTTCGGCAGTAGTGCTGCCTCTATATTTCACGCACGGTCCCTATATCTGATCGATTATCTGCTGCGATTGCTAGTGCAGTATTAAAAAAAGGTATTAAAAGGTATTAAAGTTTTCTTTTTTATCAGTCTAAAATTTTGCAGTCGATTACATTTCGAACCATTTAGTGTTTTTTGATTTTCAAGTAACCCGTACAAGTTTTAAATAGGCCATCAGCGTATATTTTTCATGTATACATTTTTATTTATTTAAACATTTTCTGATAAATGACAAATCAAAATGTTTTCTATATGTACCTAACTCTAGGGCGGACGCCATATATTATGAAAAATTAAAGGTAAAAATGATTACGAAAAGCACGGAATTATTGGTATATTTAAGTGTGTTAGGGCTGAAATGTTTTCAAACTTTTTTTTCAGTTTTTCTGGCTTCGTCAATTCCATCAAATAAGATGAACTATGTTTCTATCATAATTTATTTTACTTAGTAATTAATAGAATTAAAACTATTTTATTTACATTTTATTTTAGTGCAATTTAATATTTCTGATAGTTTTGTGGCAAATAAATTAATGTAAAATATTTTTATATCCTTATATATCCTCAAGAAATCCTTATACATCTTCGGTAATCTTCGTATATCCTCATACATTCTTGTACACCCTCGTACATCCTTGTACATCCTCGCCCATCCTCATACATTCTTGTAAATCCTCCTTTTTGTAGAGCTACATTCTCAGTGGTTTACTTTTCGGATGGGATATTGCGGCCAGCATTCGGAGACGTATTGTTTCAATTCTCTATTTAAATAGCATTGAGTTACTACACCATTCTCCTAGAGTCACGATTAAAAAGTTAACATCTTCCAACAAAAACGATTCATATAGTGATAATTAATTTTATCCCCGCGGACAAGACTATTTCTTTTTCTAGGATCACTATCCAGTAGGCTTTTGTATATTTAAATCTAATTATAAAGTTGAAGTTTTCCACGAATTGTCTTAATTTGACATTAAGTAATTTTAGCACACGCTCGAATTTTTTCATTTGAATTAAATAAAAGAGAGCAATTCGGTATTTTAAAACAAAATGTAGGTTATTCTAAAATATTTTAATTGACATTATTATAACGAAAGAAAGTAACCCATTTTTAATAAAATTCAATTATTTATTTTATTTTGGTATGATCGTAAAAAAATCTTGTGTGTGATTCGAGCAGAAAGTCCTTTGACACTTTCGACAGATTCTGCAAAAGTGCTACTTTCTGCTCTTAATGAGCAAATAGCTATTTCGGATAGCCAGTTAGCCCTTAAGGCCCTGAGCTCCAATCGAGTTGACTCAAAGCTGTTTTGGAACTGTATAAATACCCTTGAGTAGTCAGAACAAAGTTACTATGTTCTTGACTCCGGGACACAGCAGCGTGGAAGGCAATAAAATAGCTGACTAAAAGCACACTAAAAGAAGAAACGAATCTTCATAGGACCAGAACCATTCCTGTGTATTTCAAAGGGCACTGCCAAAGGAATTATCTTAAAATAGACATACACTATACGAGGTAAATCTTTATTACTTTCTGATATGTTTTACGTTTTTATTCAATCTGTATCAGTAACGTGTGGAAGATACGTTCCCCCCACGGCCCTTAGGCCTCTCTAGGCCCATTTTGCGTCCTCCTAAGATGATAGACACCTCCTAGCTCGTGAGCCAACTTATTAAAGGTAGTTGACAATGTCGGAAAGAAGTGCTTCTCTTATATCGGCCAGTGTTAGCCAATACTCGCCGAACACAAATCTTCCATTAAATGAGAGCGCCGAGCAATCGTAGAGGATATGCTTAATGGTTTTATGTTCTTGTTCGCACCCCCTGCAGAGTGCTAGTTCTGAGACCCTCATGATATGGAGATGCTTCCGTACTTGGCAATGCGGAGTCAGAATGCCTGTAACTATGCACAGATTCTGTCTAGTCATAGTCAAGTATTGTTTGCTGTAGTCTTGTCAGGATAACTTAAAAGCTTCCTGCAGTTTCTTATTTTATCCCATCTTTCCTTGAATTTCACAAGATAATGTACTTCAATTAGATGTGTCACTACCGATTTTGTCAGACCAATAGGAGGGCCAGGTCTAAAAAGTATTTGGTTGGCTACTTTCTTGGCCAGTGAATCAGCAAGACGGTTACCTTTAGATCTGGCGTGACTTTTGATCCATCTTAAGGTGACCACATTGTTGATAGATACTTCGACCAAAGCTTCGTGACATTCTATTACTAACCCTGAGTAAATTGGTGGTTTATTTAATGCCAATGATCATTGAATGAATTGTTACCAATTCAATATTAGAAAAACACGTGTTATCTTAATTATTAATTCTTACTAAAACTTGTTTGTTGTGTTGCTATCATTTCTGGCGCGTCAAAGAATATTCAATATTATAAAATAATTGTAAATGCCAAAATTTTTTCACATTTTTAAACCGTGTGATACTGTTTGAAAACCATATTTTAATGTAAATATAAATACATTTGTTTTATGATTGTTTAATAAAATTTTGTTTCAGTCTCCAGAGGAAGGTGCTCAAACAACGCTATATACAGCCCTCGAACAAGGAATCGAACGTTTTTCTGGGTGCTTCTTTGAGCAATGCAAGGTTGCTAAACCATACAAAACTGCAACAAATCCCGCTTTAGCTAAACAAATTTGGGATGTAACACTTAACCTTCTTAAATATGATGAAGATAAAATTAGATGAGTGTTAAATAATGTCTAGCGAATAATATAATAGTTAAGTTATTTTTGTACTTTATCAATCATTTATAAATATGTTTAAATTATTTAATAAATAATAGATAATTCCCTTTAACTTACTTATTTGGTATACACCATAGCCCTCATAAAGTCTACATACCGCTTGGCGTATGCTGTCAATACAAAAACATGACCCTATTTATGCTGGCCGCCATAATCAGTAGATTATAAGACAATACCTACATTCAATGTCAAATGTACTGTTTAAAAGGATGTGATTGTTAGCCGGTCATCCATTTGTAATATAATATGAGAATTAAAACTCAAACCTTATAATTATTCTTACACCTATTAGGGAAAGATATACTTACATCGGTAACAACGTATTTTTAAAAAACTGATAGATTACTCTACTCCTATAGTTTATTTAAAAATAAATGATAGCAAAATTATATAAAAATATAGAACTTTGCCGTAAAAACTATTCATTTTCAAATAAACTATATAGCCCAATCGGATTAGTATTTTAGATTCTGAAAAATTCGAAGCAGCAATTTTCCTTCAGAATTCGTTGGAGGGGGTCTCTGGTAGTCTAAACTCAAAAAGTTGGGATTCCAAAGTTGTCGTTACCTCCGCCATCTTGATTTAAAGGGTTATTTTTTGTATCTTGAATAACTCATTTATTTTCAATTTTACACGGAAAATAGTTTTTACAAAAGTTATTTAAAATTAAATTTCCTACAATTCTGTTTTTTTTTGTACGATCGATTTTTTTGTATCTATCCCTGAGAAGAGTGGGGGTGAACCTAAGTATTGTATTGTCACGTTTATTATTGATGTTGTACCATTATTTTTTCTGTTTGTTTTTTTTTGCTGATTTTCAAAAATGTTATTTGGTACAATTATGATTCCGATTTTTTCTAAGAGTTTACCCCCACTCTTCTCAGGGATAAATACAAAAATTGAGCGTACAAAAAAAAACAGAATTGTAGGAAATTTAATTTTAAACAACGTTGTTTATAACAATTTTTCTCGTAAAATTGAAAATAAACGAGTTATTCTATAACCAAAAATTTACCCCCTCTTTTCGGGTATAAATCGTAAAAATCGATCGTACAAAAAAAAGCAGAATTGTAGGAAATTTAATTTTAAACAACCTTGTTTATAACAATTTTTCTCGTAAAATTGAAAATAAACGAGTTATTCTATAACCAAAAATTCACCCCCTCTTTTCGGGTATAAATCGAAAAAATCGATCGTACAAAAAAAAAGAAGAATTGTAGGAAATTTAATTTTAAATAACTTTTGTAAAAACTATTTTCCGTGTAAAATTGAAAATAAATGAGTTATTCAAGATACAAAAAATAACCCTTTAAATCAAGATGGCGGAGGTAACGACAACTTTGGAATCCCAACTTTTTGACTACCAGAGACCCCCTCCAACGAATTCCGAAGGAAAATTGCTGCTTCGAATTTTTCAGAATCTCAAGCCTGTTCTTCACCTAATCCGATTGGGCTAATAGTGATAATTTAATTTAATACAGTGAGTGTAAGATCACACCTGTTAGAGAAATTGGAGCATAGGGAAAAGAAGCAGGTAGGTAAAGTCGTTGCAAAAAATAAATACATTGAAGTTATTTTCAAAAGATTGATAAAAAACAGTGGAAACAGCAAATGCAGTTGTCGCTATAAGAGTTCTAATTAGCAAAAAGTAAAAAAGAAGCTTTGAGAATGTTGAGAAAAAGGCACAGCAATATGACCCAAGAGAATTCCTTGTTTTTTAATAAATATAATCTTGTGAGATGCAACAAATACTGCCCAACTGGAGAAGTGGAGAACCAGTATTGTTCCAATATAGAAAACACGCCCCAACTATAGGCGAATAGTCACTGAATCATACAATAGTCCCGTCTCGATTTTATTTTTAAAATGTTTTGAGATTATCTATTATTATTTGTTGCATAAATTTTAATAAAAGCCACAGATATCGAAAGTATTGAAAGTTATTTATATCTATTGATATGATATTTTTATTCAAAATTAGAAGTATTACATGTTTTTGGTTTTCAAATTTATAATTTGATAATCAACGTTTGATGGGTAAGGTCGGTCCTGAAAAATAAAATTTTAAAAAGAAATCAGGATGTCGACTATGAGAATTGTCAGATAGAATTATGAAAATTGTCAGATATTTTTAGAGGGTTGTCAGAAAAAATTGTTGGATTTATTGAATGGAGATAAATATATATAATACAAAAGGACCTGTACTTGATTATTTTATTTGAAGCAGTAATAGAATAAATATTAAAGGGAAGTAAGGTACATTTTATTAAAAATATTAACGAAAGAAGTACTTATCCAGTAGAATACTAAAGAATAAGTAATTTAGTGAGCAGTTGAATATAAATAACATTTAATAATAAATAACTAAGAAAAGTTACATAGTAAAGGAAGCAGTGAGGTACAATTAGAGTACCAAGAGAACCGTCGAATCCAGAATGAAGAACGAAAATCTTTTAGTATAATTAATATATTGTTTGATTTTTTTTTTTTAGTTTCAAAATTAATATAAGTTCACCAAACGTTAAGGGAATTTTCGAGTAAATCAGTTAAACTTGGAGGTAAGCATTTTCCGATTCATTAAGATCCAAATCATTTTATTTGTATTGAACCTACGGACCCTGAGATTAAGCAGTAAAAGTCGAGTTATAAGGTAAGTTAATTTTTTTTTAATATATTGTAAAATTGATTTATCTTAAGAAAATTTTTATATTTTATCAAAATTATCTACATAATTTATAATAAAACTACATATTTTCATATCAAATGTCGCTAACCAACGTGGGGCTGTCAAATTGACAGGTTGTCAATGTCAGATTGCCAGGTATAAAAAAAAATTCAATTGTCAAATTTATATCAATTTTTCGATAGGTTATTAGGATTAGTAGGATAGATAGTTTGGATTTTTAAAAAACAAATTTTATAAAATAAAGGCATTGGCGTACAATAAAAGGTAGTATATTGAATTATTTTAAAATTGTATACATTAAATTTAAATTTTTCATAAATAAATTAAATAGCGTGAACTAAATTTTACCATGGATTTAAGAGGGGGAAAAATAATAGGAGAAGGTGAAGAAGTATAAGGAGAAACAGAAGTAGTAAGAAGGAATGATAAGCTTGAGATGGAAAATCGAAACGACGAAGCCATAAGCTTTGAAGGAGAAAAAGAAGAAACAATAAGGATCAGAGCAGAATTAGAGAAAATGGACCAAGAAAAGAAAGTAATTCAAATGTTGATAGAAATGAATAAAAAAATGGACGAAAATAGAAGAAATGATAAAGAAAAAAGAAAGAAAGAAAGGTTAGAAGATATAAAAGTAATGAATAAAAAAATGGATGAAATACATAAAAAAATGGACGAAAATAGAAGAGATGATAAAGAAGAAAGGTTAGAAGATAGAGAAGAAATTATAAAGAAAATTGAGAGAATGGAAAAAAAACATAAAACAGGATATCAAAAGTGAAATAGAGAAGGTAGAAAAGAAATTGAAATTAGCAGTGAAAGAAATGAAAGAATCAAACTTACGAACAAAAAATAAGAGAACAAATAAGAAAAGAGAACAAAAATGATATAAGGGTGGAAAAGATTTGCAGAAGTATAAAAGTGAAAAATTTGCAAGATAATATATTTGAAATTTTACAAGAAAAACAAGTATTTTTGAAAAATGAAATAAAGAACAAACAATTGAAGAAAAATATATTAGTCAAGAAACAGAAGAGATAGAAATAAAAATTGAAGAAGTATGTATAAATAAACAAAATAAAGGAAAAACAAAAATTGAAGAATTAAAAAAGAACTCGAGAAAGAAAAAGGAAATTGGAAAAATAATCAAACAAGATAATAGAAGGCAAAAAGAAGGTAAAATTAAAATAAATGGAGAAGGATTATTAAATAAAGAAATACTTAAAAAGATAAAGAAATATATGAAACAAAAGAGAATAAGGAATAAGAAATATAAAAGTATAAAAAAAAAATTAGTGTCAATCAGAAAATTAAAATGAAATATAGACAGGAATTGATGAAGATAATAAAAATAGAAGATTATCGGAGAAAGAAAAAATAAGGACGAAAGTCAAAGAAAAGAAATAAATTTAAATAGACGGACGGAAAAACTTGAAGATCAAAATAAGGATAGAATATGGAAAACGAATTGGAAATAGGATATATTATATTGAATATAGGATATTTTAACAGCTCACTAAATAAGTAAAATGAACAATATTTAGCAAACAAAATTTAAAAATAAAAATAGGAGACTAATTGGAGATATTTAAAATAAAATAGAAATAATGTATTCCAATGAAGAACAAATAGAATATTAAAGAAGAATAGAATATAAATAAAAGAGAAATGTATTCAAATGAAGAAGAAATAGAATATTAAAGAACAATAGAATAAAAAAAAATGTGTTCAAGAAGAGATTATTTAAAAGAAAGGAATTGATAGAGTATAAAGTAAAAAGGTGATGAAAGAAAATGGTTTAAGTAAAAGGAGAATAAATGAAATATGTGTATTGTGAAATATGTGTATTATGAAATATGTGTGTTATGAAATATGTGTATTATGAAATATTTGAATTATGAAATATATTATGTATAAAGATAAGTTGATGATTTATAATAAATATTATTATGAAATATTAAATAGAATTATAAAGAGAAATAGTGTGAAGAATGTATGAAATTGGATTGAAAGTAATTAATTGTAAATAGAGTGTGGATTATGTATATTAAAAAAAGGACAGGAACAGAGGAAATTTTGAACAAACTATTAAAATAAATGATATAATTTGAATACAAATATAAGAAATTGGGATACATTTAATATAAAAAAATGAGTTTTCTTATAAGTGAATTAAGTTAGCCATTTCATTTCATTATATAGTTGTAGTTAAATTATTTTTGGAACAGAGTTAATTTATTATAGTTTTAAATTGGGTTAATTTTATTTA